AGTAAAATCACCAGACTTGCGTAGTATTTTTTAGCCGAAATCTTGGGTCAAGCGTTTTTTTTTAAAAAATGGAGCTATTTAGCTATTACAAACACTGAACTACAAATCCTACAAGAACTATTTATGTGTAAAATAAGTGTGACAAGGTTTTAAAAACTATGTAAGTTTATTTTTGAAGAAAGAAAGAAGGTAGACCGTCCTCGGAACACTAAAATAAAGAAATATTAAAATGTTCGTTTATTTACTTTTTCAATCTACTATTTATTTACTTTTATACAAACTAAAATTAGAATATAATATTAAAAAGGTTAACATATAAAATAAAAGTATAACTAAAATAAAAATATAATTTGAATAAGTTATTAATTAAATGAATGCGCGATTCGAATAAACAGAATTAAATGAATGTGCGTTACATTATAAACATATACTATTTATTAACCAAAATATATAATATATTAATTTCTATAATATAACAATTTTTTTGTGAGTCTAAAATTTAAAAGTGTTTTGGATTTATACATATATAATTTATATGATTAAGTTTACGAAGGTTAAAATAAATTATAAAAATAAATTTAACGAAATAATAAGAATAAGACTAAGCAAGGTAATAAGGTAATAAAATATAAAATAAATTTCTTACAAACAAAAAAAAGAATACAAAATAAATTTGAATTTTTATTTTAATAAGAATATTCAACATTTATGGTATATATGTGATATGAATCTAGAAAGATTTAAAGGAATTTTGATTTCATTTCTTATTTTTTTTAATATTTTATAAATCATCTTACATTTACCTAATGGGGTAGATTATAAATAATGATTTTAGTCAAAGAATATTATCGAATCCACAAGATTTTTCATATAGATGTCAAGAAGGTTTTGCTACTCTTTGACCAATGCAGTTTGCTTCCATATTGTTTTTAAATGGGTAACGGGTAGGCATTCGAGGGGGTTAGATTAAGACGTAAATTTATTGGGAGGTTTTTTATAATTATTATTAGATGAAATTGGGGAAAAATAGTTCTAAATATATTTATACTTTTATTACAGACCTATTATAATATACATTATATTGCAAACATCTAAATTAATATATTGCCAATAAAAATGTCCATGGATAGATTTCTGCTATATTTTTTTGTAACTTAAAAGGGTTAGCGATTCTATCAGAAACCAAATAGTACTTAATGTTGCATCTAACAATAAACAAGGAGAATATATTCATTCTAAATAAAAGATAATTTCACTCTGACAATTTTTTGATAGATTGTAGTATTGATAATTTAAGTTATTCTTTCAAAAATTATATATGGGGATTACTATTACAAATTTAAACTTGCAATTAATGACGTGGGAATATCGCCTCCTATAAGGCGGCTGAAATTTTTTTTGGTAAAGGGTAAGTATAGGTTTTAAGGAGGGGTTGATTCCAGTGATGTTTTGTCATATGTTAGTTAATGTGAAAACCAGTAGAAAAAACATTAATAAGAAACAATACAAAAATTCAAACACATATCAATAACATAAGTTTTTATATCGAATGACTCTACGAAAATGCAATAATATAAAGTTTTTTGAAGGAGGTGGGGCATTTTTATATATTTATATGTTAGTTATTATAAAAAAACGACTTGATATATATATCGTTTATTTAATTTTAAAATAATTACATCATATTTATTTATTTTTAATTCGAATGTTCCATTCTTTTTTTTATAAAATATCTATAAATAATATTTTATATAATTTATTACATTTCCTTCAAACTTTTTAAGGTTAGATTTCCTCAATAAACCTCTTTGTAGGTTTACGGTTTCTTGATGAGCAACGTAATGTGGTGTTTGTATCTGCTTCATTCACTGGCACAACCATTTCCGTAACTTCCGAAGAACTTTCATGAGTTGGAATAATTTAACGATTTCTTAACTGATCTGCATGCTTTCGCAATGTTTTTTCGGGAGTTTCAAGAGTATAAGAATAGAGTCCTGTTCTTTCTTTGATCACTCCCTCTCTCCAACTATTGGTATACTCATTGTTTAACCACACAGGTTGTGAAATTTCAAATCCTCTTTCTTTCGAATGTAAATTATGATAATGGCTTTGTCTATCATTTGCCTTTTCTATTTCGTTCAGCATTTGGTCTGATCCAATCCAAGCTTGTTTTCAATTGCCTACCAATCATAATCTTGGCAGAAGATCTCCCTGTGGAGCTATGCTCTCTTAATCGGTAGGTTGTTAATACCTGTGTCATTGCTTCTTCGGGATCACTAATTAAATCTCTCGTTGCATAATACCTTTCAAAGTTCGTACTGTACGTTCAGCTAATCCATTAGTTTTTGGATGATAGGGTGCCGAACATATATGACATATGTTATTTAAATCACATTACCTAGAGAATTCTACAGATAGGAATTGTGGTCCATTGTCTGGCACAATGTACTTGGGTATTCCAAACCTAACAAATCATCTTTTTAATCGTTTTATCATAGCATCAGCAGAGGTATTCTGCATTAGATCAACTTCTAACCATTTGGAATAGGAATCGACACCAATTAGCCAATGTCGCGAATCTACTGGTCCAGCAAAATCAATATGGATTCGCTCCCAAGATTCCGTACCAACAGTCCAAGAATATAGAGGTACTTCTTGAATACTAGGTCTATTTTTCTGGCATCCAAAGCATATTTTGATAAAATTTTCTATATCAACATCACATCTGGACCACCAACAATACAATCTAAAAATAGATTTCAGTACATTTTCCACAGGATGTCCTCGGTGAATCATTCCTAACACTGCATTTCTTAATTTATAAGGAATAACCATTCCATTCTATAATCACGATCGAGAGAAAGCTCTTCCCGTCGATTATAAAAATTAACTATTTCTTTCTCTTTTCGCCAACTTTGCTGAATGTGTATTGCTACTTTTTTAATATTAAATCTTGCTTCGACTCCTTTCGTAAAATATTTTCAGATAATTGCATATCATCCAAATTAATTCAAATATCCAAAGCATGTTTAGAATCTTGATTCTCTTCCGTGTCTAATAACGGAAGCCTTGATAATGCGTCAGCGATTACATTTTTAAAATCATATGAAGCCATCTTCCAGACCCAACTTGTCAAACGATTATTAGAAATTTTAGATAAATCACGTTTCTCCCCAAATAATCGCCCTAATGGTTTATGATCAGTTGGAAGTAAAAATTTTCTACCATAAATAAATGAATAAAATTTTTCAATATCAAATAAAATTGCTCGAACTTCTTTATCAATCGGAGGTGTTTCTCTGATTCTAATAAAGTACGTGACGCGAGCGAAATCGTCGCCATTTATAATAAAACGACTACGACTACTTATTAGCTATTTTAATATATATATCGTTTATTTAATTTTAAAATAATCACATCATATTTATTAATTTTTAATTCGAATGTTCTATTCTTTTTTTTATAAAATATCTATAAATAATATTTTATATAATTTATTACAGTTATCTTCTAAATCTGTAAAACAATCCTTTCATGAAAAATATTTAAGTCATAAATTACCCTCTATAAAATATAAAATTAAATGTTACATATATTGTAATGTAACCAAAATGATAATTTATATGAATTATTACACTTTTTATGATATATATTTTTTGTATTCTATTCCACAATAAATGTTTATAAAACAATAAAATTATCTATATAAATACAACTGTTTTAATAAGCGGTAATAGAATTTTTATTATCACAAGATATATATCGTACATTATTCTATATCCAAATATTACATTTTGTTTCTTTTCTCTTTATCGTTGTTATACCCACTATATATATAATGTCGTTAATATCATCATTAAAATAAAATAAATCTTCGGGACACATAAAAAGCAATCGAATGATAATAAAGTATCCCTAAGACATAAAATAAAGTATTAAATAATTTAAAATAAGAAAAGTTAATTGATAATACTAAAATGTAAAATAAAAGAAATAACAAAAATCAATCGACAAAAAAAAGTTACTTTACGGTAAAAAATTAATTTTAAACGTGATATATTAACAAAAACAAAATAGTCAAATACAAATAACATAATTAAACGGACTCTTCTATAGTCTAGAACTGCATTTATTTCTTGGATAAGGTTAAATAATTAGCCCATCCTAACGAGTCTAAATCTTAAATAGTCTAATTTCCAAAATTAAATTACAAAGTAACCAAAACTTTGATAGTCTTTGTATGTAAGTTTATTGATGTTAACAATTTTCCCATTGTTTAATCCAACATTTTTCATTTGGTGAAGGAACTAATTGGAGCTATTGAGTGATCCTGCATTATTTAGTAAATTAGAAATCATATTTATAATTGAATGATTTTACTTATATATTTTTATTATAATAAAAATATTTATGTATGTTTATAATGTAATATATTGTGAATCACTATATTTGTTAATTATATAGGAGGTTTGTTATAAATTATATATGGAGCTAGTTCATGTGTGCACCGACAAATGACGAAGGTAGGCAGAATTATAGTATTAACCATACTATTTCCAATTTTCTCTAAATTTGTGAGTTAACATTATTTAACACAAATTAGTTAATAATTTACTGATTCATTCTGGAAGCACACATTTGACAACATTTAAATTCGGTTAGAAAATTTCAGCTAATTTCAATAAACTTCGCGGAGTATAAATAAGGAAAAATAAACTGATGTCTGATAACTTCTCAATAGCTTGGAATATTTAAATATCTAATCATCTCCAAATAAATATCTCAAAATATAGATATAAAATAACTAATATTAAAAAGTCAAATAATATTAATTCTTTTTTTTAAACCTTATTATTCGATATTACAAATATTATAATTAATAATTATCAGTACTTCTAATATATCGGTTTTTTTAAATAATTTGTATCAAGTCGTAAGATTATTATACAAAAAGTACAAACTTATTTTATATAATAGGTTATATTTTTCACATTAAAATATAAATCACCATTTGTTAACATATGGTCAATTTTGCATATGATAAATAAATAAAAAGTTATTGTTCACATTCACCACCATGAAAATTTTCACGGCTCACCTATTTTAAGTAAATAAATATTTTTTTTATATAATAATATGTGTTTGTGATAAAGTTCAATTCAATTATTATAAATAATAAATTTATATGTGTTTTTAATTAACGTTATTTTAGCTTTACTAGTAATTATTATTGGACTATTACTGAAACAATAATTTTTACCGATAAATCATCGTCAAGAGAAATTTATTACGATGAGTTATCAAAATCAGTCGCAGATTATTGCCCCAACATATATGGATATTCAAGACGGGTTACCTATGCAAAATTCTAAGGAACAAACTTTACTATGGCAACAAAATCATTATATGGGAGATTCTGGAATACAGTCGGAGATGAATACACGAGTAAGTTCTTAAGACTCAATATACATAATATAATTATAAATTTTTGATAAATTTATAATTATGTTACTTAATTAGGCTCCATCAATGTCAGGGCATCTGGCAAGTATGGATGAGATGAATACCACGCTCCAACCTCATAATCCATCAAACAACTATAACAATGTCAATTTGCAAAATTACGAATGGGGGCAAGGTTTAGATTATAACTTAATCTTACATTATAAAATAAATATAACCATTATATCACTTTGAAATTTAGACATAAGTCAAGTACTTAATCAGACTAGAGGACAAAGAATCAGAGCAGCTATGTTTCCTGAAACCATGGATGAGGGAATGGAAATACCCTCCACCCATTTTGAAGGGGAAGATATGACTGCTGTTCAAAGATTGGCAGAGCCTTCTCAAATTCTCAAGCATGCTGTTGGAAATTTGATCAATTATCAGGTTCCCTTTTTTTTAATCAAAATATTATTTTCACATGGTTGCCACCATATCATTTTTGATGTTGAATTAGTTTTTAATTTACTATATAATAGAATCATAGCTTAGAGAAAAGGGAAAGGCTTAGGTTAAGATGATATCTAACAAATATTGGTTCTCCCCTCACTATACAATATTTTTAATATTCTTTTGTAAAACTAATTTTGTCTCTTAATTTAAACTTATTTTGTACGAACATTACAATAGGATGACGCAGAACTAAGTTCCAGAGCCTTACCAGAGTTGGTAAAGCTGCTAACCAATGCTTCCAATGATCCTAACTCAACAAACATAGATAAGATTTTGGTGGGCAAGGCTGCCGCATTGGTTCACAGACTCTCCAAGAAGGAAGCTGCAAGAAGGGCTATTCTCCTCAACAAAAGTGCTGATGAATTGGTATTAATAGCAATTTGTTGTTTTTTTAAATAAGAATATTTACTCATATATGTTAGTACATGTGTATATATATCAGTTTGACAACATTATTTAAATTAAAAAATGACATGAAACATTTTGATGTTATATGTCAATAACTCAAATTAACAATCAATATATAAAACTCAACATTGAATATCTATGAATTTTTACAATAATACCACAAAAACAGGTATCAGCATTGCTTAACGCATTGAGCAGCACCTCCTATTTTAACGTTGGGAACAAAGATGGGACAAATGCTGAAGGGATGGGGGAGGAAGAGGAGGAAAACACCAACGAGATCATGAAAAGCTTGGTGGGTGCCCTTTACAATATATCCCATCACAAACAAGGTCTTGCAGCTATATTCAAAAGTGGAGGGATACCAGCCTTGGTGAAGTTACTCAGGTAATCTTTAATATTTTATGAATGAATGGGGATTTTATTTATTTCATATTCCCCCATAAATCTTTAGTTTTAAATATGGGATGTGAATTAATCATAATACAATTAAAAAATATCGGTTATAACCCGAGTTTATTATTTAAGAAATTCGACAATAAAATGCTTTGCCATTTTTTTTTGTAAACTTGTACTTTATTCTTTTACTTTAAACTTTTTGTTTGTTTGTTTAGTGGATGTTTTAATTGTTGGAAGATTTTAATTATCACACATAAGGTGTTAAAGTCACTCATATTTTTTTGAAGGAAAATATTACATATCTTGTCATTTTTTAGCTCGCGGATAGAATCAGTCCTGTTTTATGCCATAACAACGATCCATAACCTGCTTCTCCATCAAGATGGCAGCAAGGCTGCTGTTCGGACTTGTGGCGGAATTCAGAAAATGGTGGAATTGCTGAGGAAAGACAACGTTAAGTTTCTCGCCATAACCACTGACTGCTTGCAGATTCTCGCTTATGGCAACCAAGAAAGCAAGGTTTTTTATATTATTTATATTTATATTTTTTTTAATTATCAAGATATATTTGGAACAGAATTAGTTTAGTTTTAAGTGTTAAAAATGATATATTAAATGTAAATTTCAAGAAAATAATCTTTAAACTTTCGAAATGCTTGTATCATCTCTTCCTGACCTATTTCATAAACTCGCTTCAAAATTTTCGATGATCATTTCTTTAAATAAAATTTAGTTGACCACCCGAGGCCTTGATATTATTTGTGGGGTCTAATACAGACCCTAGAATATCAGCAGTTAAAAATTTGGATATTTGGCACCGACAAATACCTAGAACGTAAACTGCTGGGGTTTCCGCCAATGACTTAAATCAAATTATATATATATTAAGATTAAAATAGATAGGTTTCTAAATCTATAAGAAACATAAGTAGGTACAGCTAGGGCTGACTTACCATTACCGAATAGTATCTATCGGGTATTTATTTCAAACAATTTGTATCTTGTTTTAATTATTGTCCATACAACACCAACGAGAAGAATTGAAAATTATTTTATTTTTTATCATAACTACTGTGATTGTGATTTTAAAAATATATGCATCATTATTATTTTTTTAAAAAATAAGGGGAGTGTGAGGTGGGTCATTTTTAAACGGCTCTGAGTCCATTTTTAAAAACGGCTAACTACTCAGCATTATAGCCAGGAAAATATTGCCTGAGATTTCGCCAATAAATGTTTTCAATCCTATGTGCCATCTTTGAGCAACGTATTTAGGCTTGAATACTTTTTTTTCTGGATAAAATATTAGTTAGCCGCTTCTAAGAATCGGATCACGTTGATACCTCTAACAGCACTAGTTCAGAAATATTTTTGATTTAGCCCTCAAGTTTTTTGATTCTTCTTTATACCTATCTTTGACTTCGATCGTGATATCCTAAATAAACGCGTTTTCCGTTAGAAACGCCAAAAATATTCCTATCACAGATGCTGAACTTATAACGATAAATGTAGAATAAGAGGAGATCGATAGTTATTTGCGCCAATATATTTCGCGGTTTTATTTTTTTTTTAAAAAATCAAAATATTTTATAATAAAACAGCTGATGATTCTATCCAATGGCGGGCCTCTGGAACTTATCCGCATAATGAGAACGTACAATTACGAAAAGGTGTTGTGGACGACGTCGCGTGTTCTGAAGGTCTTGTCCGTTTGCCCCAACAACAAGCCCGCCATCTTGCAAGCCGGTTCGATATTTTGTCGTATTTTGTTCTCGTCTCTTTATTTTATCTAACCAATTAAAAAATAATAGATTTTTTTTATAGCTTTTTCTCTTACAAAGTATATATGCTCGTAGTAAATAAAAATTGATTGGTTATCAGACAAAGTTCGAACTAACGCCATATTTTTTTTTGACAAAAATTGTTCAATCAAATTTATTTATCCCTGATTCCTTGAGCCCAGTTATGGTTTACCGCTTTTTAAAGCTGCGTTTCAAAATCGCTTTCTTTTTAATGGTAAAAGATAGGCAACGGACCTTTTAATTTTGAGCCTTTTGTAAGCGTTTTATAAACGTGGCGTTGAAAAGGGCCGTTCAGGGCGTTCCTTTTACCGCGCTTTCCAAATAGAGCGTTTTTAACGCCAAACCGTTTTCGAAAAAATTTTTTTTTTAAAATAAAATTCTCGACTTGTTGTGTTTAATTTTAGAATCAGATGATATATGTGTGTATTAGTTTATTAAATAGGTGATTGTGAGGTAGAATTTCTGTTGAAGTATTTATTTAGATAAATATGTGAGTTTAGAATTGGTTTTTGGGATTATTAGATGAGTAGGTGAGTTGGGATTGCTATTTTTGTTGTTGGGTAAATAGGCGGGGTTCGCTTTTAATAAAGTATAAGAGAAATCGCCTTTTTTTGGGGGAAGCATCATTATAGGTGTATGGAGTATATAAGGGCCGGGACATGTATACAGGATATATCAATAAACCTATAATTACGAATAAGAATGAATCAATGGATTTTCCGAGACTTTGAAGTGCAGGTGGCGATCCCATTAAGCCGAACGACGGATTGTTGGGCCCAGACGGGAAGCTTTGATCAGATGGTAACACCGACCAGAGTAGAACGCTGGCGCTGTTATCATTGCAGGAGGAGGGGGCGTATAGTAAATCAATGTCCATTCAGGGAAAGACCAATGTATGAGCATCAGGAAGAGGAGAGGCATGCTGACATCGGAACAGAGACGGAAGACGCCGAAGTGACGTAGGGAATGGTAGCATGGCCGAGGGAAGAGCCGAGAAGAGGAAATTGGGATCGAGAGACACCGGAAGTGGGGGATAATGAGGAGTACGCTGGAGAGAACACAGAGATAACTAACGGGAATGACGATGGAGAAACTGTGAACTCTGGAGAATTGGAGGCTCTGATGCGTATTTGACGCCAGAGTTTCTGGACTGGCGTGCATTGATTTACTATATGCCCCCTCTTCCTGCAATGATAACAGCACCGGTGTTCTACTCTGGTCGGTGTGATCAAAACTGCCCATTCGTGCCCAACAGTCCTCAATCTTCTTGGTTGTATTGACACTTGCACTTCAAAGCCTCGGAAAATCCAGCACCGTATCATTCTTATTAATAATTTAAGGTTTGCTATCCTGTATATATGCCTCGGCCCTTATATACCCCATTCCCCTATAATGATGCTCAAAAAAAACGATTTCTCTTATACTTTATTAAAAGAGAACCCCTCCAATTTACCCAACCAAATAAAAAATCCCAACTCTCCTACCTATCCCATTATTAGGGGTGTGCCGATCCACATATTTTTCACCAACTCCGATATTGGTTCAAAACCGATCCGATATTTATCTTCGAACCCAATGTAATTAAGAAATCAATATTTTTTATGCAAAAGAATTGTGCATTTAATTTAATTTTTTTATATTTTCAAATATAATTTAATATATAAAATAAATATAAAAATATATCATTTTACGTTGGTTATATAAAATTGTAATATTTAACATATAAAATTATAATGTATTAGATTTTTTTTTTAGATTTTCAGGCAAAGGGACCAGAATATTTCCAAATATTAGTTTTATTAAGAATGGCTGATATTGTTGGCCAACTTTCAGGGCTCAAATAATTTGATTTGTTTTTTTCTCTAATATTTCTCGTTCTTTTTGTTTTCGAATTCCGTTTGATGGAATGGCTTTAAATGTTTCCGAATATTTGTTGTATTAAAATGAAATTTTCATTTTTCCTCCCCGCTAAATTAGAATTCCCGCAGATTAACGCATTTTGCAAAAATTCTCTTTTATCTTTATCAAAATATTGCCATAATTCAGAAAAAAAAACCATATTTAAAATAAATCTTTTTATTTTAAAAAGTATTAAATAATAAAAAATTGGTGTTATTTTTATATAAAAAAAAACTTTTAAAATATATTTAAAAAAAAATAAATAACATTTGCATTTATTTAGAAAATATTATTAATGTAAAATAGAAACGCACTGAAACTCGGAAAAATTTATTTTATTTTTTTTATAAATATTTTATTTTTATTTAAAAAATAATAAATATGATGTAATTAATAATTCAAAGTTTCATTACTCAGAAGTTTTAAGAACTGCATTTTTTAGTAAAATGATCGGATCGGGTTTTTACGGGTATCGGTACCGATCCGATCCGATATTTAATATCGGCACAGCCCTACCCATAATATACTGAAACTAGTTCTTAACTCACTTACTTATCTAACAACTAAATTATGATACACACAAAAAAGACATGAACTCGCGTAATTATCTGATTTATAAAATAAACACAACATTTTTACCCTTTTTCTTGGTTTTTTTTTTAGAATTTATTGGAACAAACTTTACTCGGATTCTTTAAAACGAAAAAAAAAAATTTTCTTTTAATTCTAACTTTTCTTCCCTTCCCTTTTATACTATTCTTTCCCCTAAACTCTAGTCATCTTTGTTTGATTCAAATCTAATTTTAACTTAATTTTCTTCTTTTTTCCCGCCAATTTTTAACTCTTTCTCTCCTAAACCCCAATTTTCGATGCCCACTCAATTTAAACAAGTTTGCGCGCGTTTTATTTTATTTATTAATTCCTTTTTAGATCGCAACGCAAAATGCCTAATGCACTAGTTTGGGAAGCATTATTGGACTCCCCATTCCCCACCATTCTAATATTAAGTTTTTCTCTGCCCTTTTATTAACTTTTCTCGCAACACATATATATATATTTTCCTCTTTAGGAGGTTTGCAAGCTCTGGCCATGCATCTGAATAACAACTCTCACAGGTTGGTGCAGAATTGCTTGTGGGCCATTAGGAACCTATCGGACGCCGCCATTAGACAGGTTTGTTTGTTCTTGATGTATGTATTATTTAGTCTTGATCAGTGAAAAAGAGTCTTTGGTCTAGTTCAGATTGTTCCTACCCAAATTGAGCATCGATTGTGAGAAGTTAAGACAGATATAAGAATTTTTTTGTAAACGTCGCATTGTCTTTCACCCTTGAACTCTATGTTTATTCAAGGGATAGGGTTGGCAAAAATCATGATTTATATATATATAGCTATTTATTTGATCGAAATCAAGATTTTTTTTGATTTAAATAGCTACTTATTTTATTAAAATCAAAATTTTTTTGATTTAAATCAGATTAAAAAGTTTAAAAAAAAATAACAATTTAAAAACAAAGTTATTAATCTAATCAATCACTTAAATTCCTTCTTTAATTTCGTCAAACCTATTTCCCTATTAAATATATGTATAAATATCGTTGTTAGATCAGTAATATTTTAAACTATTTGAAAAGTATTTTATCTTCGTGTTATCAAAATTTTGTCGGCCTAGAATCGGAGTGCTCCGCTTGCGCGAATGTTTAAAAAAATGAGAAAATTAACCTTGAAGTTTAAAATCAAAATATATAGGAAAAAGGTTATTGATCAATTTTGACAGAGCTATAACAACGGCAAATATTAATGTTTTTTTTAATCTAGTTTTTATTTATATATATATATATTATCCACTTCTAACTCAAAAATTTTGAAAATATCAAGTGGAGCCACTCCAACGCTAGACCGACGATTTAATTTTTTGCCATTTATGATATTTTAATAACATTTCATTTCTACTTAATTTTTTTTAAAAAAAATATTGAATTTTAATATTAAACAATGTTATATTTATCTTTAATTAAATTAATTAATTATTTTTTTTAACTTAACTAGAATTCACGCGTACAAACTTCATCCGTAATTAATATTTTATTACCAACGATTAAAATAAAATATAAAAATCAATATAATTATTTCTGCCCCCCGTTTATATTTTATTTATTATCAAAAAAATGTAATTTCAGGTTAATAATAACATATAAAATCATTTATAATAAATGAAAATTTGGCAAATAATTAAAAAAAATGTATTAAAATGAGGTGTAACGATATTTTTTTCGATAAAACATATGTTAATCATGGCAACCCCCTTACCCCCCCCCCCCCCCCAGGATCTGATCATAGAATATCATTTGATCGATGCCCACTATATATTGTTCACTTCCCCTCATTTAACTCTCATTAAGAAAAGCAGGGACTATTAAGCACCACCGAGATTTTAAGATTGTTGGGTTGGATAATGGCAGAATTCCGTCTAATTCGGCACAATCTACAGGGGTTTAGCAGATTTCTTAATCGGCTAGAAAGATAATTACCCGACTTATCAGAGTAACGCTGTCATATCTTACTACTTTTTTTTTAGTAAGGGGGTTACCCGTCTTTTCGATACATTCTTTTTGTAACGGTTCGTTTAATTTTTAAACTCAGGAAAATTTGGATTCCCTCCTACAAACGCTGGTCAGATTGTTGTGCTGCTCCGACATCAATTTCGTAATTTGCGCTTCGGGGATACTATCCAATTTCACTTGCAACAATCAAAACAACAAGCTCGTCCTCTTCAACTGCGGGGGCGTTCAGGCGTTGTTGCAAGCGATTCACGCTCATTGGGACCGCGAGGAAATCACTGAGACAGCCGTAAATATAATAATATTACATAAGCAAAAAAGATGATGGGTAGTTTTGTTAATGTAACTCTAGTTACCTTGTAAGTATTTTATATGTAACTTTTTTTTAAAAAATATTTTTTACGAATTTTTCGAGTTTACTAACGTTGGAGGTTGGAATTATATTTTTCCTAAAAAAAAAGAAGTGTATATTATTGAATGCACGATCGAATAGGTATGCGCCCTTCGTCACGTGACTAGCAGGCACCTCGAGTGCGAAGCCGCGCAGAACGCTGTCAGGATCCACAACGGGATCCCCTTGTTGGTCAAGCTTCTCAACCCTAATTCTTCCTCTTGGCCTCTGATAAAAGTTTACGATTTTGTTTCGTGATTAATTCCTTCATTTCATTTTTATCTTTATATCATCGTTGCAAAGTTGAACATTTGATACTTGTCTTATTTTGTGAATAAAAGCGTTTATGAAATCCGAAAAAAAATCAACTGATGATATATTGGATCGGAGAACCCTATGGGCCTATTTTTGACTTTTAACAGGATGGGTCTATGGATAAATTTGTTATTGTTCACATATTCCTAGCGTTGAAAATCGCGAGAATTCACAATATTTCAACCCGCACAAATCAATATTATTAGAATATGATTGTCATATTACAATAAATTCCATTCTATTTTATCAAGGCCGTGATAGGGGTGATTAGGAATTTAGCCTGCTGCACTTCGAACCACCCCATGCTGAGAGAACAGGGTATCTTTCCCAAACTGGCTCAAATACTCATGCATGCTCACCAAAACATCCAGAGGGTTTTTACTTAGAAATTTTTATTTAAAAAAAAATAACAACATTCATTGCTTGATTTTTTTTTCTTCCCATTTTAGAGATGCGAATGTATTGATTAATTCATAAAAATCATAAAATACGTTTTTTTTTGATTTGTTTAATTAAAATCATAAAATACGTTTTTTTTGATTTGTTTAATTAAAATCATTTTTTTTAAGAGCGTCAACTCAATCCATATATTTTTATGTTTATAGGCATTTTTTTTTTTGATTAATCACACATTGTCATTTTATGTAGGCCAAATTAACCCCAGTCCTGAACCTTAATAATCATCCATTTTACCAATTAGGGTTATGAAATATCAATCCAAAAAAAGGATTATAACCTTTTGAAACGTTTTTTTTTAAACCGCACCTCTATTTTTAGAAACCTTCGAACAATAACGATGGGCCAATGAACGCTAACAATAACACCTACGTTATCATGGAAGAGATCGTGGAGGCTTGCGTTGGCGCGTTGCACGTGCTGGCTAGGGAAGCTATCAACAGGGCCTTTATAAGGGAACTCAACATTATCCCAGTTTTCATCCAGGTATAACTGTTTGCCACTTTTTGTTAAATCTTAAATTAGTATTCCCCATTTGGAGCTCAAAATTTCTTTGCATTCTTGAAGATAATATTGATCCCTGCTAGGGGAATGTAATACTTTAATTTTCAAATTGAATTTAAAACGGAAGGTTCCTTTTATTCCCCATAAGACCACCTCAACTACAAAATTAGGTAAGGTTGCTATTTTTTTGAATTGAACGGGGGTGGGGGGGGGGATGATATTTAGTTATCGGAAAAGTTTAATGTATCCGACATATCGTGGTCACACCTGATCATATTTTAATTTTTATATTATATCATTTTTGTTTACAATATCTACTCGAAAAAACAGCTCCTCTACAGCGAGATAGAAAATATTCAAAGGGTGTGCGCAGGCGTGTTATGCGAGCTGGGGGCGGAGAAAGAGGGCGTTGATCTCATCGAAGCCCACGGTGCCGCCCCACCCCTCACTGATCTCCTTCACTCTCGGAACGAGGGCGTCGGTAAGATTTTTTTTCACCGTTCATTTTCTCATTTTGACTTTCATTAAAAAAAAACATACTTGCTAGCCACTTACGTAGCAGCCCTTCTCTTCAGGATGTCGGAAGACAAACCCCAAGAATATAAGAAAAGACTTTCCCTAGAACTTACCACATCGCTCTTCAACCCCCCTCCTCCTCCTGGCCCACCTGGCCAAATCGATCACAGTTCTAATAACCCCCAAATTATGAATCCCTCTAACTGGCCCCAACACAATATGCCAGAATACATGGGGTCTCCCCAAATGCTCCATACCATTTATCCTCACCAAGGATCTCCGCACATGCCACAAGCTAATCACCCGTACCAGCATTTACAGAATCCTAAACTTCAACATTCGATGCAGCGAGGCCCGCACATGTCGCAACAGCTGATTCCTCAAACCTATTCCAACGGGACCGCCAGAATGGTTGGCGGACAACTCTTGGAAAATAATGGCGGATGGGCAGGCGGACCTGATATAGGAAATAATAGCAACGCGGGCCCTAATCTGCTTTTGCTCGGAGGCACTGGAGGAGATTCTAACGGAATCATGATGCCAAATGGTGGCGGTGGAAATTCTAGGATAGATATGATGGGTTTGTTTTATTTCGTGTATATATATAACATGTGTATTTCTTAATTTTACCATCTTCAAATCGTACATCTAACTAATGAGTGATAAAATGACGTATAATCTACCAGGGACTTACTTGGCATGAAGTGCGAGGGATTGGTCAGGTTTGGGGAATAAAAATTTGAAGATATTTTTTTGTTTGAAGAACGATGAATTTTGATCAAATTTTTACCTAAAAATCATTTTTTATAAAATAAAATATTTTGTTAATTTTCATGCATTTTATTACTATTTTTTTTATTAGGTAGAATGCGAATAGAAATTGTTTTTAATTTATTTTTTTTGCGTGGAGGTTTGTGTGCGTGTTAGTTTTTTTAATTTATCATTGATAAAAACGACACTCTTGAATGGTCAGTTTTTTTTCACGCTATAACCCCCCCCCCCTCCCCCCCTCCCCCTGATAATCTCCTAAGGTTTAAGTGTTGTTGAACGGCTCGTTTTGAGCCCATTTTTTTAAAAAACGGCTAACTCTATATTTCATTCTAGAATAATATATACGCAAGCCTGAAGATTTTGCTTGTAGAAGGAAGCAAAGGTTTGGGCATCTATTAGCAAAATCTAGCCAAATCCCGAGGGCTTAGGCACTATTTTTCTGGCTAGAATACTGAGTTAGCAAATCGGCTTGAAACGAGCCGTTTAACAACACTGGGGTATGATGGCTAGGGAGGCTAAAATTTTGCCCACATTTTATTTAGTTATAATTATATAAATTGATATACGTCATCCAAACACAAAAATTGAGTTATTTCTGAACATTTTCATTTATATCGATAAAGATTTATTTTATCAATCAACAATACAGTTATGAGATGAACAAAAATGATTTTATTTTATTTTAAAAATATTGATTGTCCAAAAATTTTTTTTAGTGATTTGTGTTCCCGATTGGGACTGCACCGTTATTTAAAATGGCCTATTATAAATGTGTGTTTCGGAATTGGTACGAGATTTGAGAGATATTTTTTTACAAACATGTTTATCGAACAAAAATAATTTTTTAAAGGAGGATTTGGCTGCGGCACATAAACCGATCCCAATGTTCTTGGAATCGGATTGGGGAATACTGATCCAGTTTTTTTTAAACAAATTTTAAATCTTCCGATTCATAAATGTGCTTTCCTTAAAATAATTTCGCTTTTATAGCGAGCGGACGGAGACCTTCATGGGCCGGGACGACCCGCAGGCGGTCGTGTATTTGTCTAATATTATATTTTCTAGCAGGCCTGGGCCGGGCCTGGATTTATATAAAAAAAATTTTTTTTAATGGGCTGGGCTTGGGCCTACAATTATTAAATTTAGATTATTTAAAATAGTTGCTAATTTGAAGAAATACTGCCTTTTTTTCCTTCTAATTGATAATAAATTTCAGTATTGTAAACAAAGTGATTGCCTAAATATCAGAGTTGTTAAAGGATCAAGATATACAAGTATCTAGATCCTGTATCTAGATATATAAATGTGGTCTCTGTATCTGTATCTAGATAGATTTTTGATTAAAATATCTGTATCTAGATATTATTTTAGACGATATATCTGTATCTAGATCCATTTAAAAAGTATCTTTTAACAACTGCTAAATATATTTTAAATACTGTTTATTTTCATTGAATAAATAAAAAAATTAAATTTTTAGATATGGGCTTGCGCCGTGGGTTTGAGAAATTGAAACTTATCACGGGCTTGGGTCGCACTTGGGATTTTTTTTTAACATTAGATACGGGCCAGGCTTTGGGCTAAAAAAAAATTTTTTACTGCAGGCCTGGGCCGGGCTGTGTCAAAAATTAAGGCCCACGAAGGTCTCTGATGGCAAGTCGTAATGTTGTGTCAACTTATTCCAAGGTGGTTCGAGCACGAAAAAATTACGTGCTAATCTCGTGTCGATTCTGGGCTATATATACATCTTATATGATTAGGTCATTCCAATATCGGTACAGGCCTTGTTCCAATTTGGGATCAATTGGATTCCATAATTGTCTCTACCCTTTAATTAAGGTGGTTTTTCGATCGTAGAAACTTCTTAACCCCCAAAATTATCGATTATATTCTCTGAAGGTTGTTTGTCACGTGACACATTCGCGATTATATTGTGCTTCCCCCCCCCCCAAACCAAGGTTTTTGAGAAGACCGATTCTGGTCGATTTTTAGCCAAATAAATATTTTATGTACGTCTGGAGATTTTGCTCGTAGATGGCAGCAGGATTTGGACATCTGTTCGCCAGATCTCGAGTGCTTGCATAAATATTATTTTGGCTGAACTCTTCAGCGGTTCGGTTTTTAAAAACGATCCCGATCGGGACTTTTAACGACACTACCCCATCTTTGTTTCACATTTTTTTTGTAATAGTATAAATAATAGGAAAATATTCATTTTCTTTTTGCGCGCTCGCTCTTATAGATTTCAACGCCAACGGGCAACAACACCATCACGTGATGAACCAAGTGGGGGCCAACAACATGCCCCACCACCAGCATCACCAATCCCCGTACACTCAGCCCCCGTCCCAGCTACCCGCCAGCTGGTTCGATACCGATCTCTGAAGGGGGGGTCATCATTTTTTTTCTTTCTCACATCTCCTCAACCCCCCCCCCCCCTTTACCTCTTATTATTTATTTCATTTAATATATTTTCGCAATTATAAACTTATTAATTTAATTTATAAAAGATTTAAAGATTTTTAATTATTCCACCACCTGATAAATAAATGTTTTCTCCTTTTTTCTTCTTTATCCGATAATTAGCACTTCTTGAACACCATATGCATTGTAAAAAAATTTTTAAAAATTCTTGATAAATAATTACTCCCCCCCCCCCAAAAAAAAACAATTTTTTTTTTAAATTTAAAAATATACATTTTACTAAATTCTTCCTTTTATATAATATTACATTAGCAGTAAATTTTTTTTTAAAAGCTCATTTTTTTCAATATATATATTTTTTTTAATTATTTATATATATTATATGCTTTAGACTTAATTATATAAAATTGCGTTTTTTTAATATATATATATAATATATTTACATTATACTTTTTTTATAAGTGTTGTTTAAACCGCTCGGTTTGAGACGATTTTTAAAAAAAAACGACTTAACTCGACATTGTAAGCCGGAAAAGGAATGCCTGAGAGTCGAGATTCCTCCGATAGATGTTCAATCCTATGTGTCATCTAGGCTTCCGTAATACTTTTCTGGATAAAATATTTAGTTAGCAGCTTCTAAGAATCGGCTCAAATTCAGCGCCATTTAACAACACTACTTTTTTTTGAAATGCATTTCTCTAAGTGTCGGTCGAAGTCACAACAAAATACAAAAATATTTTTTTTTTACAAATTTAATCATGTGATAACTTAATCTCGTGATTCAAATCCCTACCAAATATATATATTTTTTTTAAAAAAAAAATACATCTATCCATGTTCTCTTTTCGTAACAATTATTATCTTTAAATAATATTATATATATATATATATATTTACAATATTTAAAATTATATAGTTCTATCTAACGAGACTTTAGTTTTCTTTTAAAAATTGAATAATAAAATACGATTTGTGGTTTAAAAAAAAATTGACTCGATGTTTGTTACGTATACAAAAAGTGTTTGGGTGAATGAATTGTGTAAGTGCTATTTTTATCACGTGATCCCAGATGGTAACTGTAATATTAGGATCGTGGACCGACTCGATTGAATCGCCGTTACAACCGCCCATTTATTCGAATTCTCTATTCCTCCATTTTATAATCACTGGACTGTCAGACCTACATCTCAACCTTAACTCCTATCTCTTCAAACCTTTAATATACCCTTTTCCCATACCTTTTAACATCTCAATCCTTACTCAAAAAAAATCTTCCTCATTTTTTTACGTTCCTTAGCATTCTAAATCGATTTCGGCGATTCTGTAGAATTTCTTTCCTCTCAAAACTTTCTGGAGAAGCGATCTGATCGGATACGATATAACCGATACTATTAAATTGATAGCTGATTTGATATATTTTTTTCTTTCGTTATACAATATTTAATGTTATTTTTAATTTAATTATTATCAACAGAGTTGTTAAAAGATACTTTTTAAATAGATCTAGATACAGATACATCGTCTAAAATAATATCTAGATATCGATATTTTAATCAAAAATCTATCCAGATACAGATATCACATTTTTATATCTAGATACTTGTATCAAGATCCTTTAACAACTCTGATTATCAATAACTATAAAAACGTCTGACTCAATATTTTAGCCAGAAAATACCTAAGCCTCAAGATTTCGCTAAAATACCTAAGCCTCAAGATTTCGCTAATAGATGTCTAGAACCTTTGTTCCTTCTATGAGCAAAATTTTCAGGTTTGAGTCTCTATTTTTCTGGACGAATGAGTTAGCCGTTTTTTTAAAATCGGCCCTATACGAGCCGTTTAACAACACTACCAATAACAAGTCTCCATTAGAAAGAAATATAATTATCAAATTTTAATTTGGCTAATCATTTAGATTAGACCTAATTTATTCAAGTTATATATATATAATTTTAGTTTCAATGTATTTTTTTTTCCGGCAATCTGAAATCGCTTTTCATCGGAAATGTATTCTATCATGTTTGGAAATATCTATCTTTATTAATCTGAAGACAATTTCGCTTGTTAAACTTTTTGAGTCATTTTATAATTTATATGGAAAAATCCAGACTTGTTAACAGATACTTTTTAAATGGATCTAGATACAGATACATGGTCTAAAATAATATCTAGATACCGATATTTTAATCAAAAATCTATCTAGATACAGATACCACATTTTTATACCAAGATACAGGATCTAGATACTTGTATCTAGAATCCTTTAACAACTCTGGAAAAATCTAATATTAAATTTAAAAAAAAGTTATTTGGAAAAAAATTGTCTGAAATTCAATAGGGTTAGGTATAATGTTGTTAAACGGCTCGTTTTGATCCTATTTTTAAAAACGGCAAACTCAATATTTTCGCCAGAAAAAATATTGACTAAGCCTCGAAATTTCGATAATATATGTCCAACTAAACCTTTGTTCCTTCTATGAGCAAAATCTTCAGGTTTGGGTAGTATTTTTCTGGATGAAATATTGAGTTGGCCGTTTTTAAAAATCGGCTCAAAACGAGCCGTTTAACAACAATAGGAGGTAGGTATTCCTAACATGCTGGAATGTATTTCCGGTTAATATAGCGTGCTCAAAAAAAAGTGAGAAAAAATAATACATTGTATATAGTTAAAATCGTCGTAATCTATTTTTATTACAAAAAAAAATTATTATATTTGGTTAATCAAATTTGGGAGAAATGGATAAAAATTTTCCGCCATGTTTTTAGTAATTTTTTCTTGATAACTCGCACTTAAGTTTTACAAGTGTTTTTTATACTTTCGCGTCTAATTAATATTAATTTTCAAATTTACCTTAAAAAAAAATATTTCTAGGAGATATATATATATAAAGAGTCAGAGTTGTTAAAAGATACTTTTTAAATGGATCTAGATACAGATACATCGTCTAAAATAATATCTAGATACAGATATTTTAATCAAAAATCTATGTGGATACAGATACCACATTTTTATATCTAGACACAGGATAAGAGTAATTTTCCAATTTTTTAGCGATTTAAGAACCTAATCCCTACAGTATTATAAATTAGAATCCACCCCATCTCTCGTCCATTCACGATCAACATAAATTGCGTTGATCTTCTAAAGATATGCTATATATTTTATCATCTATTTAGCGGAGAATTTTTTTTATAACAGGAAAACTCAATTCGAAACTCGATTTTCTAAAAAGAGGCCCGAACCTGCCCCGGGTCCATATAACCCCGGGTTAGATGGTTTGCTCCATGAATTGGTCTATGGTCTCAAAATGCGCAACCTAAACCATTTTAAATTTCTGAACCCGGATTTTTGACATCTACCAATATTCGGTATTTTAAAGAATGACGAAAAATCGGCCTATCGGTAACCGAACCGTTATAAATAAAAAGGTTATTCTTGGGGGGTGGGGGGGGGGGTATTACAAATTTTATAGTGCCGCTCCTAATTACTCCTCAAGGAAAAGAAGCGTCTTGCTAGTCTCAATTTTCATAAAAGAAAAATTGATAACTACATAGGGGATCAGGTATTATTCCCAATTACATATAAAATGATACCTAGACTTGACGATTGCATTCATAATAATGTATTCGAAAGCGTCGTTGAAATGCAAATCAGCTGGAAGCGCCATTTTGGTAACCCTAGTAATACTTTGCTTCCTTATTATCTCGATGATTAGGCAATTCCTTAATAAAGTTTGCGTCCAGACATAGGAATAAATTTGCCCACTCGTTTAAAAGATTATAGTAATGATTCTGCTGATCAAAATGGCGTCCCCAGCTGTTTTCATCGATGTACACTTTTAATGAAGGCATTCGTCGGTCTAGGTATTATTATATGTCATTGGGCGTGAATTAATAAATCAATAAATATTTTTCGCCGAAAAAAATGGAAGGCTGATTGACGTTTGACGCGAGACGGATAGCGAAGAGTATAAAATCCGGTGTAACGGGGTTCGGGTTCGGTCATCGATTTAAAAAAAAAATTATTTGGCGCCATTACGGACTTAAAATTCTGTTTGTAACCATTAAGAAAAAAAAATATATTCTCTCCAAATATGGAAAGAAAATTGGTTAAGTTGGTTAGCCGATCGATGAACGAATTGGATGGGTGATAGACGGGAAAAGGATAACGAGACCAAAATTTAAGATTGTTTATAAAAAATATACAATGAGATATATACTAAGGAAAATTTTACGATAGGCAATTATGACTTGTTGATATAAACTTAATTATAAAAAATAATAAGCGGATAATTAAGTCGATTCAAAATCCCGGCCGAAAATCCGCAAAAATTTTTTTTTAGCAATTTTTATATTTCTACCGCAATTTTCATATTTCTCCCGCATAATACCAATAATCTCCCGCAATTTGAAAATTTGGACCTGGCAACCCTGATTACTGACACAAATGTGAAAATGGAACGAGATGATAATGAGCGATGGCAGAAGAAAATCCCATTTTTAGGACCGTGTTCCTCGTTTAAACATATTTTTTTTTTTTGATAGTTATTGCTTATTGGTTCTAGGGATGAATACCTTTTTTGAACTTAGAAACACTCTAATTTGGTTAAAAATTGCGTTTTTAATATCGAAAATGTCAATGTGCACATCATCATTTTTATTGGTCGATTCCTCAAAATCTCGATCATCACTAAATTTTAGTCTAGGGATTTTAGCGTTGAGTGCAGTGGGCTGGAAGATTTCGTTTGATTTGTCAAACTCTCTTATTTTTTCAAATTTTTGCCAAAATTAAATGGTGTAAATATACGATTTTTTTAATTGCCCAGCGGAGAAACTAATTAGTTTTAGCTTAACTTTCCTTCTCGAGATTAGTAAATTCTAATCTTGTTTCTTTGGAATTTTTACTATTTGCAATTTAAAAAGTAATATTTAAAATTTCTAATTTTTCTAACAAGAAAAGAAAAGAAAGAAAGAAAAGATAGAAAGAAAGAAAAGAAAGAAAGAAAGAAAGAAAGAAAGAAAGAAGAAAAAAGAAAAGAAAAAAAAGAAAAGAAAAAGAAAGCTTTTAAAAAATATTTTCTTCCTCCACGATTATAAAAAAAATTTTACAACTGTTTTTTAATGTGAATTTATAAATTTTTAGAAAACAAAAAATATTTAAATTGTTTTTTTTTAAAAACAAAAGTTAAAATTTATTTTATATCTAAAATAGAGGGCGTCATTGAACTGAGAATAAAATTGAA